AAGTATTTTTTAAAGGCCACCTCAGCCTGAGTAGTTTATTTCAACTTGCATGCATGTTGGATTCAGGGATACTTTGCTATTAATAAGGAAACTCTATGAATTGTGTGTGTATAAGAAGCCTAAAATAAGATGCTTCGAGGCCTTGTCTCATGGCCAAAATCAGGAAATAAAGGATTGTAAGTGCTTCATTTTTTTCTTTCTCTGGGATCCCTCCAACCAGCCTGTGAGCCTAACTCCCACCTTTGACCATTTCACAAGCTCCCTTACCCCTCACTCCACTGCTGTTTAAAAGTCTGGGAACAAGAGGGACACTTCTTTAGACTGACTGGGTGATAAGTAAGATACAACTTGTTTTTCCAACGTGTTTTTAAAGCGATTATATTTAGGGTGCTTGAGAGGAAAGAATCGGCCAGTCCTTATTTATCTTCTTAACAGGTGCAGTCTGAACAGCCATAAAAGCAGGCCACTGAAAAAGAAGGATACTGCCAAGCATTAAGGCCCTGCAGTGTGCATTTGCCCTAGAGTATTCCTCCCTACAGCAAATAGCTCAAATCCATGTCATGAATCTCTAGGACGGCATGGCAGGATTTGCTAAAATATATAAATATATATATATATATATATATATATATATATTTATATAGTGGCATTCATTCATACAGCTTCTTTATTCCTCATCCAGATCTTCAACATGGCTGTTCGAAGTCAGAAGATAAATTGTTGCCCTTGATAAAACGCCTTCTCTCTTTCGCCTACTCTTTTCTCTTACTTTTCTTTTTTTTTTTTTTTTTGAGTTGGAGTCTCACTCTGTCGCCCAGACTGGGGTGCAGTGGCCGCTCCCGGCCACCGCAGCCTCAACCTGCTGGGCTCTGGCGATCCTTCCGCCTCAGCCTTCCGAGTAGCCGGAATTACAGGCACGCGCTACCACGCCCGGCTGATTTTTTGATTTATTGTAGAGATGAGGTCTCGCTGCCCAGGCGGGTCTCGAACCCGCGGGCTCAGGCAATCCACTCACCTCAGCCTCCCAAAGGCGCAGGATTACAGGCTGAACCACCAAGCCCGGCTCTCTTACTTTTCTGAATAAATTAACTTTCTCCCCACTGGAGGTAAAAGTAATATATTGTCTTTCCAAAGACAAATTTATTTGGGTGTTTGAGGCAGGTCATCCCGTCTCATGCAGGTAGAGACTGAAGGTCAAAGAATAAGGAAAAGAAGGAGGCGTCCCACCAACGGAGTGCTTTTTCTGATGACAACTAAGCCCTAAGAAATGCTCAGAAACACAAGAGGTGATCCCTGCTGCACCGCATTCTGTTAGGTTTGGGGTTCAGTAGAGCTTCAAAATGTGATGAAATCTTCAGGGCCCAAGAGAGAAAGATATACAAAAGGAAGACCCATATGGACTACAAAAAGGTTGTTCTCTTATTTCCGTGTTACCTGCTGGCAAAGACCTAGATGGGTAGGATAGATGTTGTGTGTTGACCCAGGAAAAGAGTGGTAGCCACAGCGCCATGCTTGTGATTCCTGAAGTTATCAGAATGTCTCCTTAAAATTATGGTCCTCAAGGACCCTGGGCTTGGCCACATGTTTGAGTATTCAAGAAGGGATCTTTCATGGAAGATGAGAAAACTAGTGCCTCTCAGGGGTTTTGGAATGACACACCAAGCACCAAGGAGGAACTGCTGTCTTTTTCTGGCAAGTACATAAAATCTAATAGGGCCCTATGTAACAGATAACAAAAAGTGAAATTCATGTTAAGGCCTCAACTCAGTGTTTTAGAAGAGAGTTTTTCTGGGTTTTATGGAATCTGACAGTTAAGTGTCTCAGGATGTTAAAGAACAAGCTTTATTATTTTAATCATGAAGTACTGTAGAGACAAAATTCTGAGGAAATAATTTTGAGGAAATAATTCTTCGGGTTTTAACAGCCATTTGTCGTATGTTTAAACGAATGGAGAGTCTACCACAGAAGATAGGCTATTGCAATTTTCTGATCTGATGTTTCTTTTTGACTGGAAAAGCGATGTTTCTAGCGAGGGTGAATTTTTTTTACACAGTAGGGCTCAGGGGTCATTAGCTGTGGGCACTTGCTGATTCTCAATTAGTAGCTGACACAGGAATGAATGTGTCAGCAAGACATTCTGGGACAGCCCCACAAATCTGAGGCTTCCGTTCACAGCCTCCCTCACTATTCGATGAGAGTCACTTAATTGCACTAGGCCTGGGCTTCTGCATGAATCCAAAGTGTAAGACAAGCCTTTGATGTGGAACTAACAGTACAAATAATACAGTTCTCCAGAGAATACACACACAGCTGATGAGGTAGAATGCAGAACAATGGGAACAGTCACTCCTTAACTATCGTGTTTTCTTTCTCCAAAAGGGGTCACAGAGCCACCCAGAATATTTGCGGGGATCCAAATAAGGACAGTTGGCTAATTACTTCCATTAGACTGCTTCCTTGAGGTCCAAAGTTACACCTGTCCCTCCTCCTCCTCCTTAGAAGAACCAGCTTTCCTGAAAACCTTCAGAGTTAGGCCACTGTGGGCTGAGAGGCAGCCGAGTGAGACATCCTTTTCACTTTCAGGTGCTGAAATCTCAGCCTCTCATGAAGAGTTGCCAGATCCTCCTGGATTCTAGGAGGGCCAGACCCAGCCTTACCAAGATTCACAGCAAGTGGCCACATCTTCCCTAGGCATGACTTTCCCAACTGGGGAAGACAGTTCAGAAGACCCCTCGGGGCTGGTGGAGTCTGTTATTGGAAGGGTTTCTGCCAATAGTTTGAAATGACTCTGAAGAATGCGTTCGATGCCATGTTTTATTCTGAGGACTGTCTTCCAGAGGGATGCTTCTATGAAAAAACCCAACCCCAGTGAACATGAAATCACAGTCAGGTGAAGGTGAAAGGACCGTCATGTTCACGAATTGCAATACTCCTTGCTCTTCTTTTAAACGGTATTAAAATGCAACCATTTCACTAAGGAGAACTCTTCAAGGTGCAGTTCCTTGAAGAATCAGTTCTGCTGGTAAGGGAACAAAAGAAAATCTCTGTACTTCCTCAATGGATTTTGACTGCATCAGTAACCCTCTTTTTTTCTCATTACTTTATGAATTTTTATTTTTTTTTGACAATAATTCGTATTTATTTATGTATTAGTTTTCCAATCCGCTTATTCCAGTTCAGAGGGGTGAGTGGCTGGAGTCTATCCCAGCAGTTTAGGGTATAGCCTCTACTCCCCACCATCCAAATGTAAATGAACTAAGTAATCAATCTATGGATATAAAATTGCTGTTCTGGGTGGGGGCACTTAACAGGGCTTTTACGGCACAGCGAGAGCGTGGAGACTTTTGGTACCCATGCTGATTTATTCAGAAGGAAAAATATATCCACGGAGAGCTGAAGTTAAAGGTATATTTTCTTCCTTGTAGCTCTAAACTTTCATTCTCTCTAAAAGTAGTGTGAGTAAGACCAAAGTCATCAGAATAATTTAATGAGCTTTATATACCCTGCAGTCTGTCGCCTTATTTACTAGTTTTTCAACTTTCTTGTCATTTTCAAACTGGACTTTCAAACAAATGCAAATAATCAAAACAAAACTCAAGATAATTAAAACAATATTCTATCTTCAAATTAGAAAATATGCATTTCAACTGAGTAAACCTGGAAGAGTTAGCCAAGTGACAGATCAGATAAAAAGGACACTTAATACACACGTAAATCATTTGCATTACAGATAAGGCACCTTAGCAGGGGTTGGGCTCAGGCCTGACAGTCAGGATTAAGCTCCCATATTAATGCATGCATTTGGTGTGGCTATTTCGGGTGGAAGACTTCATGCATCAATGCCCTTTGCTACCAAGCAAGGCCAGCCTGTAAACTGATCGCCACAGCCTGTCAACACTGGCTACTCAATTACATAAAGAAAATATATTTAAAGGACTTTTGATAACTTGGTTAGTATTTCAACTTTGGGTTCAATGTGCAGCATCTTTTTCAAGGTTTTTTTCAAAATCAGGGTTAGAAACATTATTAAGGATGAAAAAAGAAAAGGTGACTGTTTTTATACTCCCTGCTAACCTTTATTGCTTTCAATTGCAGAAGTAAAAAATAAAGATTTGTTAAGCACTAGTAAAAACTAATCTAAATGAAATAACATTTTAAAACATATTTCCATTAAGAATTACATTCAATGTATTCTTGCTATAAATTATTTGTTTTTTTGTAATTACTAATTCCAAATGTATTATGTTGTTAATCAGTGGTTTTAAAATACTGATTGCATTTTTATAGAAAGGAGAAACTTTATTAGAGGAAACATTTCTTCTAATGCGTAATACTTTTATACTTTCAGCTTAATTATTTTTAAAAGGCTATATATTTTGAAGTTATCTTCCAAAAAACTCATGAAAGAACACAATCTGCCAGAGATTTTTAAACATACTCTCTTTTACCCAGATGGTTGATTTCCTTTCTATCTAAGAATTTAATAATGAAGCTCTAAAAGCACTGATAGAAACAAAAAATACCTTCAGCTGTATATTTTAAATATCTTTTCATGAAAAAAAATTACAAACTTGGAAATAATGTCACAAATATTTTTGGAAATTGTGATCAAATTTATCACCATGTAAGAAAGCATCCCAAGCCTCCACCCCCTACAAACTGAAATACGTGGTAAAAAGTTTGTGAGCAAACCTAAGAAAATATGCAGTTGACATCCTTAAATTGCACTTGAAGAATTCCTTGTAACTGAATGATTAAATTATCACTTAATAATTGTAGCCAATATTCCTTTATAAATTATCATAACTGGAAATCTTTCAATGTATTACACTCATGCTGTATTTTTCCCCTGGCCTTTTTTACTCTAAAGGGTGTTTTCCTTAAGTCACAGTGATTTTATTATTTTATTATCTAGAGAATTGGATATTTGTTTGAAAATCAATAGCAACATAAACACATTATTAAAAAGTACAGCCAAAAATTTTCTGAGTAAGTCTTACCCTCTTTCTTGGTGGGTTCTGGCATGGCCACAGTCAGGTGTTATTCTCCAAAGGGTTTTTTCTACCTTCTATGCCTGGTTGACAGAGACCCCACAAGCAGTCGAGAGAGGGTGCAGGTCAATGTGACAAGCAGCTGGGGAGAAGCCCCGGGCTTTTATACTGCCTCTGGACATCAATCATGATGGCACCTCCCTTTCTTCGGCACTGGGATGCAGGAACTTGACAGCTATGGGGACCTTCTCACATCTGTTGCCTGCACTCTGTGCTCTCGCCTACTGGAAGGAATCTCCTGCCCATCTCATGTGGCTGATGAGAACACCTCTGACTTTCTAAATTCAGCCGCAGCCTCGTGCTCTGTCTTGCTCTTCTCTGTCTGACAGATACATGTGCTGACTCAGGGGTGCAGAAAGCTTGCTAGAGGATCAAAAATTAAATGAGAAATTAGAATATGCCTATCCAATCTGTACTGTAACTATCAGATTGGAAAGAAAAATCTCTGTATTCAGATGATAATTTTTATGCTCCAATTGGCTTCTCAGGTTCATCACTCTCAATTATTGGGTTTTAAAATTTTTATTTCTTATTGCTATGTCAATATTAATTTGTAAAGTCAAATTTCTAAGTAAAATATCTTGTCTCATGCTCTCCTCCAAGAGTAGCAAAGGTTTCTGCTAAGAGATACTTAGTGTTGTTTTTTTTTTTTCTCAAAACACTACAGGACAGAGTCCAGCCTGGGAAACCTAGATAAATCCCCATCTCTAAAAAAATTTTTTGGCATAAAATTTTTGTAAAAAATGAGCAATGATACGTGCTAAAACATGGATGAAACTTGAAAACATTTTGCTAAGGGAAAGAAGTCAGACACACCAAAGTAGACTGTAAAATACTAGACTACATATGTCACTTATATGAAATGTTCAGGATGGGCCAATCCATAGAGTCAGAAAGTATATCAGAGGGACCCAGCGGCCAAGGGGCGGTGGAATAGGGAGTGAATTAGGTTTTCCTTTGGTCATGATGAAAATACTCTGGAATTAGATAGTGGTGATGGTTGTCCAACTTTGTGGATATATCGCAAATACATACACTCAAAAGTATATTGGATGTGCAAAAGTCAGCTAGACCAGTAGCCATTGTTTTAATTCAAGATGTCACATGGGCACACAAGTCTAACTTAAGATCTTGGTAGAATGAATTGGATTTGGTCACTTTCTCCCCAAATGCTCATGGGACTGATGGAGAAATATGAACTACCAAGTAGCCAAGCTAGAAGAGATGTCTTACTTTCTTTGTTCACATGCACCGGGACTGAAATTAGTTTATATGAAAAGACACCTGCCCAAATGCTTTTGTTGGTATATGTTTCTGAGCTAATTTCCAAAAGACTTTGACTGATTTGAACTGAACCAGCCACATTGTCTCGTTTGATTTCCCTTGTGGCCGGGAGTGCAGCTGGTCAGACTTAGCTCTACCCAAGCTTGTGCCAGGCTAGCTTCTCATCTAAGGGTGGAAACTCGACTTAGAACTCAATAGCATCATGCTTTAGCTATGTGGTGGGGAGGGGAAGGCAGGCCAGTCAAGGCGGTCCATAAACGTCTCCTATAAAGAAAGCCTCTCCTCAACCTCACAATACGACTGGCACATTGTTGCACTTAAAAAAAAATGTTCCTTTGCTTGTAGATGCTAAACAGTTGATGTCAGCCAGGAAAGAGCATGTTCTGTAACACAAAATCAGAAGTCGCTTGAGAGAAAGAAAAGTAGCTTTCCTGAGTCCACTATGGGAATGCCAAACGGCAGATGAGGCAGATTCAAGAACCTAGAATCTGAAGTCAGACCCTGGACCTAGATCATTCACCAGCAGAGTTACTCTAAAAAGGCAGGTGGCCTTTCTGGGCCTCAGTTTCTCCTCGTATAAAACGAGGAGCTTAAAAAGTGATCACGGAGACCCCTTCCAGGCTAAACACTGGGATTCCGTTCGGGAAGTCCCTCAGAGAAAAATAATCTTTTTCCAGCATGCCCAACACACTGAATACCACGCATGAAATGGACACAGAGCAGAGTGTCAAGTTGCAGAAGAAAGTTTACAGCGATGGGCAGATTTCACACATGCCACAAAAGAGGTGCCATGCCATGACTGGCTTCTGCAGCAACCCCATTGGGTTTTTAATACACTGATCATTTTACTGAAGTGAACACGTGCCAGGAAATATTGCAGTCCATGGAGAAAGTCCTTCATGACCTGGAGAACTTTTTGATAATAAAGGACTTGTTTATAAAAAGACAAAACCTTACTGTAGAAATTGTTGGTACAGGCAAAATCTAGACGAAATGGTTGTATAGCGTATCAAACGGTTGAGGTAAAATTTTAAATCAGGATAAGTAGACCTGTGTAATTTTCCCAGGACTGTATTGTTTTAGGAACACATAACCCCCTTTCAGATCTTATACATTCATCTAGAAGATTGCAGACTCCATAGCTGTGCTCTCAGGAGAGGGAGGTAGGGGGAAGGTTCACTGGGCTCTTTTATTCTTTTGTTAAATGCTTTATTGGATTTTGCCCTTTGTATTATTCAAGATGAGGTTTGGCCAAATATAACACAAAACCAAAAAAAAAAAAAATCAGTTGAATCAAGATGGAGATATTTCTCCCCCACATGAAGCAAGTCTGAAAGAAAATGGTTTAGAGTCATCATAGTGACATCAAGAACCCAGACTCCTTCCTCCCGCTCTGTTCTCCTACAGGTAGCCTCGTGGTATAACGAAGCTGCTTATACTCTAGCCATTACATCCATATTCCAGGCAGCAGAAAAGAAGAAAAAAGAACTCATGGTCTCCATTCTAGGGAGCCTTATTTGAAGTTGCACACAGTACATCTCCCGCATCTCACAGGGCAGGATTCGATTACATGGCTGTCTCTAACTGCAAAAAAAATAAAGGTGGGAAAGGTTGCCTTTTATTCAGTGGGAACGGGCTCAGCTGAAACTTGGGTTTTGTTACTCAGCAGAACGAGGAGTGAAGGGGTCCAGCCCCTTTGCCAGGTCGTGAGATCTCCTGAAGGAGAGACGGATAGGCGAAAGACGAAAATCTTATACTCGGACACCTGCTTCCTGAGCAGATGACATCCTTTATTAGTTAACAGAAAGCTTTTATAGCATTTGTAAAAGGGGCAAGACAAAGAAAATTCCTTCATGTACATATGCTTTAAAAGTTACCACCATCTAGCGGTCTTTAGAAGAAACGAATAAGCCAAAAACACTATCTACTTTCAGTTAATGAGTCTTGAGATAAGTGTAAAAGGAGTTTCACTTAAACTAAACATAATGCATACAAGGTTTACTTTGACTTCGGTTCCACATCACTTGTCTAATTAAAAAAGCCTTAAAATCCCTAGTACAAAACTATAGATTGTACCTAGTGATAGTAGGAATATGAAGCCCATTAACTTGACCAAACAACAGTGGCTAGCATTTAAAGAATAACTATGAAAGTCACTTACTGTGAAAATACGTACACTAATCTTTACTCTGGATAAACATATGAAGTGAACTAAACATAATGAAATAAAACTAACACAACTAAAATTATTATGGTTGCATAATTACCAATGAGCTTTTAAGTTTAGGATAATGGTGATTTGGCTGTTTTCCCTTATGCTTGGCAACCTCCTGGAAACCATCTTTGTCTTAAAATAGGCAGGGGAGCAATTATTATTATCTTTGAGGCAGCAATTTTATCATTGTGTGAACTTAAACTTATGAACTTAAAACAATCTTCAAAGTAGCTATAGCACTAAAACTTAATTAATGACACAAAGTAAAAACCTTGTTAAACATAACCAGAGCCTAATAATTTTTGTCAACCCTCATACATATGTATATTGATTATATAAACTTGTATGATATTACATTTACCAATTATGAGTAATACATGGATAAAACAATTATCATGTCTAGAATAGCACTTCCAGCAACTCTCTTCAAAAGAGTCCCAAATTACAGTCCTTGAAGTGCTTCAAGAAAGTTCCCAGGTGCACGGTTCTTCATGTAGCAGTTCTTCTCTTTTTGGGCTTTTACGACCTTCAAAGCTTTTGTAATCGCCTTTCTTGTCCAGGTGTCTTCGTTACTTTTCTCTTATCCCGCAGTGTTTATTTCTAAAGAAAACTCAAAAGAAGCTTTTAATGACATTTCCCAGGCCCCCAGGGTTGCTTTCTGTATTTAGTTAATTATCATAAAAGTGTCTAATTAGTATATTATGAATACAGTGAAAACCCACTCTATAAACATTTACTTAAAATTTAACTATAGAATTAAGTAAAAACCTTAACGATTAATCTTTATCCTAAGTCTGTGAAGACAGTGTTATAAATCACCTACATAACTCCTAGATCAGTGTTAGAACTTATAATGAGCTCATAATGAACTTACCATAAACTTGTACTTCTAAAAAACCTTATGTCTGAACACTAAGCTGCATAATTCTAAATCAAATAAGGAGTGAATATACTTATATCATTTTTTACTCAAGCAATATCTAGTAACTTATAACCAAGTGAAAGAAAGCATTCTTGATGTGCTTCAGAGTTTAACCCTTGCATATGTTAGAAAAGGCCAAATGGCGTAGTGGGAAAATGGGAAAATGAACCATGACATTCTCAGGTTAGGTGTGAGTACTTCGCATAAACATGCCATTTTCTTCTTCCACAACTGCACAGAATTTCTTCAGCTGTATCAAACAGCAAAGGTGGAAGACAGAAGGGCCTCAGCTTCCCGGGCTTGCCCTGCGGCCCGGGGTCTTAGGCCCACTGGGACCCTGTCAATCATGTGGACCTCCAAGGCTGGCTCCCAACAGAGGAGAATGGACATTGGATAGGCAAGTGCCAATCTCTGTTACACCTGTCAAAATAAAAACAAGAATGCTCCCTGCATCAACCAAAGAGTATGGAGAAGTATAAATAATAAGCCAACAATCTCACTCTCTCCCTGAGGTGTGAATTTCCTCTGTGCTTATACAAACATTCACCATTTATATATTCACATGTAGGGAGTTCTAAATCTATTTTTTATGAATATGGTCACATTATATAAACTCTCCTTCAATTGCTTTTTCATTTAACTCATCGTAGACGTTTC